CACAGACTGTGAGTGCGACCCTCGCAGTAGTAGTGGTGGTTGCGCGGCAGCGAGGCGGCACTACTGAGTACCGGCGTGCTGTTGGTGTCTTTGTATTTATACATGGCGGTACCGACGCTATCGAGGAGACCTGATTCTCACTGCACCTTGACTGGGGACTTGTGCTGGCTGTTTAGCCCGGCCTAGTTGCCTTATCTTCGTGGTCATCCTACAAGGTCTGACCGGATCAGGGCGGAAACTCGATTGTCGCATAGAGTTATCGAGCGCTAAAACTCGCTTCCAGGAAATGTAGTCATTGGACTTACGGTTAAGGGTTTTGAGTGCGACTTAGTCGCACTTGGGTGGCAACATGAAACCTTTCTCTTCTCTTGACCACATCCTTCTTCCAACTTCGATTTCCTATTCTGTCCTTCTTTTCACTCCCGGGTATTATCCTCCATTCAAATGACTCCTTTCTCTTCCATTTTCTCCCTACCTCTTTCTTACTCCACGTGACCTGCACAACGGAGACTGTTAGTGCAGGGAATGTGGGCAGTAATTGGTTAGCCGTGAATATGGTTCGGGTGTTTCCTTTTAGCTCCATTGAGACCTCGGAACTGTTAAGACTAGACGTTCGCCATTGTTAGTAAAACTTATTAAATTCAGCACTGGTAAAAGATGAACATTACCTGCGTCGGCCGGTGGCCGAATGGTCTGCGCGCCTTGTTTGCAACCATAAGGTCACTGGTTCGAATCCGCGTAGGGGTTGGCGTCCTCGCGGTATACTCAGCCTGCGCGCGACTGATGATGCTCGCGCGGCAACGAAACACCGTCACGGCGTACAGCTGTTGCATCCTCATCAGTCGGCGTGGATCCGTCGCCATGGCTTGTCCGGCCATCGTCAGGGGTGTACTGGGCCGGTCGTTTTGCTACGTTGATGCGCTTGACAATTCTTTGTGTGAATCGATTTTGGGCCACCAACAATATCCTCTTGCTAATGCTTTCACCCTCGCCACTCCTGGACGTGCGTCGTGGTGCTCCTTTAGAATCTGTACCGCACCTTACTGGGAGGGACCAGTTGCGAGCCCCAGAAAACGCAACCGTTTCTGCGCATTATGAATGGTTGCAACTTCGCTGTTCCTTCAGATGGCCAGCCTAAGGTCAAGTAGCGTTTTACCATTGACAGGACTGTGTCCCGCTCCATCCATTGGCGGATTGTTGCGCTTCGTATTGGTGTGTACCTAGAGGTTACATTAAAGTAACCAGTTCAAATGGAGGGACATGTTCCTGTACAACTCCAGTTACCGGTAGACAACTTAATACATCAGCTGTGCAGTTTTTGTCGCCTGTGATATAAACAATCTTGTAACTGTAGGCGCACAAGATTACAGCACATCTCTGCATTCTTTGTGGCATCTTTTGTTGGATGCCTTTGGTTTCACCCAGTAAAGATAATAAGGGTTTCTGGTCAGTGTGCAGCTCAAAAATATTTCCCCAGAGGGTTCCACCAGTACGGTGGAACCTTTTTACACCAGAGATTACAGCCAGTGCTTCTCTGTCCAATTGTGAATAATTGTTCTCCGCTGTTTGTAAAGTACGCGGCGCGAATGCTATGGGACGTATGGATCCATCGCTTTCACGGTGGCACAGAACAGCTCCGATCCCCCAAGGGGATGCATCACACTCAAAAATGAGTTATTTATTGGGATCATAATGGATTAATGTTGATGGAGAAGCAAGGGTTTGTTTAGCTTTAATGAAGGTGTCTCAGTGACGAGAATCCCATCACCATGGACATTTTTGTGCAGCAATTCATTTAATTGAGATAATACTGTAGATGCATTTGGCCAAAACGGCGATAGTGAGATAGCATTCCCAAGAATGAACGAAGTTCATCACTGTTCCTCGGCGCCGGACTTTCTGTAATAGGCTTCACCTTGTCATTTAAAACATGCAACCCACGCTTATCCAGCCAGTATCCTCATTCACATTTGAATTTCTTTAATTTTAATCCGTTTCGTTCCAGTCGCTCGAGCACAACAGCGAGTGTCTGAAGATGTTCTGTATCACAGCGTCCCGAGATAAGAATATCGTCCAGATAAGCACAAGCGAAAGGTATATCCTTCACCAGGTTGTCGATAATCCTCTGGAAGATGCCGGGGGCAGAATTAATACCAAAAGGCAAACGAGTATATTGGAAAATTCCAATATGTGTGGTAATAGTAGTTATCTTTCTGGAAGGCTCGTCGAGTTCAATCTGCGAATATGCATGGCTGAGATCAAGCTTGGTAAACTTTTCACCACCAGCCAGAGTTGCGTACAAATCTTCAATGCGTGGCAACGGATACCTGACTAACATAGAAGCTTGGTTAACAGTCATTTTGTAGTCACCACAAATACGTATGGAGCCGTCTGGCTTGGTTACAGGTACAATTGGTGTACCCCAATCAGAAAATTGTACAGGGGTAATTATACCTTGGTTTTGTAAGCGGGTTAATTCTGCTTCCACTTTAGACCTCGTAGCGTACGGTAGTGTGCGCGTCTTGATGAATTTGGGAGGAGTGTTCTCCAATAACATTAGCGAAGTCTGATAAACTAAATTTCCCTAGCGCTTCGGCAAAAACAGCTGAATATTGCTTTAGTAATGCATTAAGTCCTGGAACCTCAACGACTGTGTGTCCGGAAATGCGCGTTCCAATCCCTTCCAAGCAGATTTGGGCGATCTCCGGAGACCACATACACAGGAAGTGTGTGTGTCCTGTCGCTGTATTGTACCTTTACCGAGCATTTAGCAAGGACACGTATCAGTTCACCAGTGTACGTGCGGAGAAAAGAATTGCAAACTGCTAAGGGAGGTGGCCTTTTCACAGCATTTTTCTTAATTATCGTCACTGATGCTCCCGTATCGACTTTCATTCGCACCTTTTCTCCTTCAATATAAAGCTCTAGGGTGTACGGTGCGGGCCGCATGTTGGGAACTGTATTCGACCATATGAAATACAATTCGGACTCGCTTCCTTCTGACTCGTCCACTGTTTTAATGGGCTTCGTTCCCCGATAAGTCGCGTCCAAACGATGTTTGACCGATCTGCATACTCGCGCCAAGTGACCTATCTTCCTGCAATTTTTGAATCCTGTATTTTGATGTTGACAGTCCGAATGACAACTATGGCGCTCTCTACAGCGATAGCATCCGAACAAAGTGACAGTATTAGGTGTCTTCTTAGATTTGGGAGTGCTATGAACCAATCGTAAATCTACAGATGGGTGTTTTAGAGTAAATGTTGTTCGTTGCTGGGTAAGGTTTTCCCTCTGCCGCGCAAGCGGGTGGGATGTTTTCCACATCAGCGAAAATTCGCCTTGCGAAAGGATTTCCACCCGGATATTCTGGTCTGAAATCCCAGAGATCAGGCACTGAAGCAACATGGTCTCTTTAAACCGAACTGGATCAGTTTCATTGTATTTACAGTTTGGTATCTTTGGGAGTATACGAGCGATGAGTTTGTTTACACCTTCGTCTGGTTCCTTGGAGAGTTTGGGAAAGAAGTATTTGGCTGTAAACACACTTTGGCGAACTCTCTGAAGAGCGCTGAATGTATCCAGAGCAATGTTTATAGTAGAACAGACTTCGTCAACACGAAGGGAGTCAAAAGATCTCTGAGCTTCATCCCCAAGGAATTGTCGCAAAAGTTTCATTTGGTGTTTCTCGGAAAGGGACAATGCCGGATTCAAGATGGGAAGCAACTCCAGATAATCAAGAAAAGTTTTTCGCCATCGATTCCAATTGTCCAAAGACGGTTTATCGGTAGAACAGAACCAGAAGATTTGTAGTGTTCGGCGCGGACATGTTATCCAACCTCCGTCGCCATATGTCAAGACTATACGTAAACCGTAGTAACTTGGCAGCAGAAGCAAAACGTGTACAAAGTGTAGTATACTCAACAAATAACGCGGAGCTGGTTACAGCATAAGAAGCGCAGTTGGGCGTGCCTACGCGCGCATGTAAAATCAATACATTTTGAACCAGCGTCAGTCAATGATTAATAATCAACACATGACAGGAACAACTTATGATTTCCTAGCTCAACGATCCGCTCAACTAGGAAAACTCACAAAATTTTCCTGTCCGTTCCAGTCCCATCTGAATCTGACCATAGCTGACCAACCGAATATAACCTAACTATTTACTACTAGTCAGCCACACTCGTTCCCAGCTTCACTTGTCATTATGACAATGGGCAGGCACAAGACGATGACGCCAACTCCGAGATTATTGATGATTTTTGTCATACTTCTTACAACTCCGTCCACTTGATCCATTCCTGTATGGACCTGAAATCATACGCCTGCGAAGCTTGTAGATGAGATTCACGATTGATTCGAAGCAGACTCACGTTCCCCGAGTACGTGCATTGCCGTTGTACAAATTTAGTACTCATAACTTGAGCCAGACTTACACTGGTCTCCGACTGAACCATCTGGGGGTTGAAGCTGTTCCTTGAGACCTGCACTGTCACGAGAACTGCATACCCTCACTCATTTGACAACGAGTGATAACTTTCTTGAGCCAGTAATCTATCTTGTGGCACCATTCACGTGCACTAACTGCTTCCACGTCTGATGCATCACGCGGAAATTATCACCAAGTATACAGCCAGGCGCCGTCTCAGGTTCGAACATAACATGCTCATGGCGGCTTTTTTTTACAGCCTCCGTGTACATAGATGCATATGTGTGTGTGTGTGGGTGAACATTCCGATTATGAACAGGGTGTGTAATTTTCGTATGCTTTTCAGCTTTTGTGACCCCATTCTCATGGATCACTCCTATTGTTCACCTGCTTGGTCATTGACTGAATGCAATAATCATCTGCGTGTTTCCGATCTTCTGACCGATCACACATACGCTCTTCCCTCTGGATTTACTTTTCCAAGTCGTTTTGACACGGAGCAAGAATGGGATCCACAAAGAATTTCTCTCGTCACAAGCGAGGATACTTCACCCATCGACGATCGGCATGTGACAGGACTTCATCACCCCATTCTCAACGTGAGTTTCATGCGGATCTGTTGTTCTCATGTTGGTTTCTCACCAATACCCACTTCGCCGATGTGTGCTATACTTTCTTTTCTGGCATTTCAGTTTGCCCTTTTTGTGACTTACAATCTTCAGTTGAACTACCATTTGTTCCCTACTGACCCTGCTGTTACCATGCTATTTACTCATGTTACTATTGCTGCTACCATGCTATTCACTCATTTTACTAGCTGGCTTGCCGAACAATCTCCTCGTGGTGCCAGCTGGGTGGTTCGGGATTATCCCGTTCCAGCGAATGGTTCGGCGACAGTGTTCCAGGACGTGGTGGGTTTTCGCCTGGCGAGCATTCTCCCTATAAAAAGCCACAAATGTCCGTTTAACAACACTGTGACGTGGCGGATGTGACTCGCCACTAAATAAAGTCACTGCCCTTTGCCTCTCTCTGAGTGGCATTGTAATTCAAGGGTGCGTTGGGCCCCTGGTCCTATGCGGTCCTAAAGGCGTATGAACCACTCGTTTGGTCACCGGCTCCCAACGGGTTGCGATACCCTCATATCGCCCTGCCGCCTTGTAGGTTAGATCCTTGATCAAAGGCTCGGGGTGGGCCCCCTAAGACAACCCTCTACTTCGATTTGGGCAACCGAGTAGTATCTCGCCCACTGACGAACCATGGACTTACAACCACAACCATTCACCCGCTGTCTTGCTGCTACCATGACCTTGCGTCAGTTTGGTCATTGAGATGGTAACAAAAGTGCAACGAAGATGGCGAACGATAACGAAAATGTATCCAACCGTTTTGCTTTGTTTTTGCTTTTGTTAATTCACAGGTTTTGTCTAATGACTCGCCTTTTCTCCCTTTGCACAGCGCTTGTTCTCTCAAGTTGAGCTCAGAATTCGGGATACCATCAATGTGAGCTGTGTAAAAGACTTGTTGTCAGAATTCCGATCAATTCTGTGCATGGACGAATCGACAATCACCGGGCTACCATCTGAAATATTTGCTCTTTTGATGAAATTGGCTTCAGCAGGCTCAGTTGCCTTACATACTCCTGATCCAGCCCCTGATACACGGCCCGTTTGTGATCCTATGACCACCCCTCCTGTTCATATCACCCTTGTAAAGACCGAGGAGAAATGTCGCAGGCGCTTGCATTCCAAACGGTATCGTGCCGAAAAATCGAAGGAGTCTCACACTTGTCCCTTGTGTCATCTGACTTTCAGCCGGAAGTCATCTCTTTCAGAGCATACTCGGATGGTGAGTTATCTACCTCATAATGATGATAGCTAAATTGTTTACTACCTCCGATACACTTACAACTCCATTACACCGGTTGAGCCTATAAAAAAGACTCGCGGTATATAAGCGATGGGGCCACTTATCGACCTGCACTCTGGTTATCTATTGATCCCAATCTGTGGTACAGATATTGTGCCATCAGAATCATGGCGGAATAAGAGTACAGGATACGAATAGGAAAAAAAGAACCTGCAACATTTTTTCACCCACAGTTTTTGTGTTTGTAATTGTTTGTTTCGTTGCGGAAGGGAAGGGCAATCACCGCGACACGCAGCGATACTCGTCCGCCATTAGCTCCGGTCCTGACCCATGACTTCCAGGGTCTCTAACCGGCGACATTCTGTATCTCTAAAATCCCAACCAGCGAGTCGAGAACAACCGGCCGACGCCAACTATTTCGTCAGCTTTTTTATGTGGCTTCTCCATGTTGTAGGCTTTCCACCGTGCCGTCTGCTCCAGTCCTGTCCAGCAACCGCTGTCCGGGAGCAAGTGAGAATTGCCTGGAAAATCCACTATTTTAGCGATTAATCGATTATTAACGATTATCACATCGATTTCGAACGTTCCGGAATGTTCTAAGTTCTGCATGTGATTAACAACCACTCAACATCTCGGCCAAAACTATAAGGGAACCGCTAACTTTGGTAGTTGACCTTCCAATTCCAGAAGTCGAAGGTCAGTAAGAGACCTATAATTACAGCCAAGGTCCGCGGTAGTTGTACAGTGTTTGTTGGCGGCGGTTAATGCGTTATTTTGTCAAGGTCATTGGTATTCTGCTTCTTCCTTCGGTTAGGCTATAAGTTTTGGGGAGCAGTAACTTGCCAGCTTGGAATCGCGCCTAGTGAGAAGATTACACCAACCGCGAACAACGTCCAAGACGGAAAATAATGAGCAGACATGCGCATTACGTGTCCAAGCCACCGCAGCTGACGCAACGGGAAGAGCTTTTCTAGCGAGTGGCTGCCTGCACCCAAAACACGCTGCCTAACTTCCACATTGGTTGCGTGGTGCAGCCACCACACATGGGCAATGTACCGCAAACAACGGTGCTCAAAGACAGAGAGACAGCGCAGGTCAACGGTACGAACAGGTCAATTGTCGCAACCCTACAACAGTACAGCGCGGACAGTCACACAATAAACCCGCCCTTTGATTCATAGACGGATGTCATGGCGGCGCCACAAGTGCTTCAGCTTAGAAAAGCGAGGCGAGCTTTTGCGATATGCATCGAAACCTCGGCTCCAGTAGCTCTACTGGCTGTGATGCAACTTCCTAAGTAGGCAAAAATTTCCTTCATCTCCAGAGTGAGTGCAGGTACAGGCATCTGAAAGTCTTGGAAAAGAGCTTTGCACTTGGATGGGGAAAAAGCCATCCCCTACTTTGACACTTCAGTCATCAAGCGGTTGAGTACACGTTGGACTGCCTGTGGACCATCATCAGCAAGACGATATCATCAACGTAGTCCAAGTCAACAACGGCTGTCTGGTTGCACACCACGCACTCCTGATTGGTGGTGGATCATCTCACTCCAACTGGCTTGATGCTTTGTGATCGTAAACCCGCCTGTTCGGTTTGGATGGTCATGAATTGCAACCACGAGTTCCCTTGTAAGGTTTCAACCAACCAAACATCTTGGCCCCCCCCGGGTCGTCTATTCACACGTTGATCTACTCGCCGATCCTTAGATTTTACTTGTAGGTCTTTATCACCAGTTGGACGACTGATATCACTATTCCCCGACATTATGTATTCGCTTAATGAAAATATTTTTGCCAACAAATTTTTGGAGTATTGGACGAGGATATTTGGATTAAATTTTCCTTGGAGCTTCTTCACCACCACATTTAGCTACTGTACACCCGGATAAGCACTGTACGGCCGTGTTCCACCCTCTTGTGACTCGTTGGCAGTGCGCAAACCATCTGTTCCTTGTAGGGCTAGAACCCGCGAACCTACTTTTACTAGCAGGTGGTTGAGACCACTGGGCTAGGTGAGTGTCCGCCGCTATGACTCTGTAACTCGTTATGCCCTGGCGCATATACTCATCCCCACCGCGCACTGCTGAAGATTCCCTAAAGCATGTAACGACTGTCTAACGTTTCTTGCGATGTATGTATATAGCTGTCTACTTGCGTCTGGTTGTGACGAATACCGATCGAAAAATACTTTCATGAGCTACCTTGCCAATTTGAAAAGTTCATTATCATCATTTAGATGCTAAAGCAGCCGAATGCCTAGTCAAGGAAGAACACGGTACGCACCACAGACTTGGAGTTGTGTTGTCCAGTCATCTATTGACAAATGCATTTTTGTATTCCTCATGACGATCGCTCATTACGGACATACGTCGATCCCCGCTTTGTCGAGCTCACACCACCATCACATATATATATATATATATATATATATATATATTTGCAGAAGTCTGCTAACAGACATAATGCCATGGGGCCCAATGCTCCCCAGAAGTACAGCATAAGGCTGCTGGAATACAATGCTTCGCCAGGTTGAAGCAAGGGGCAGTGACTTTATTTAGTGGCGAGTCACGTCCGCCACGTCACAGTGTTGTTAAACGGACATATGTGGCTTTTTATAGGGAGAACGCTTGCCAGGCGAAAACCCACCACGTCCTGGAACACTGCCGCCGAACCATTTGCTGGCACGGGAAAATCCCGAACCACCCAGCTGGCACGGGAAAATCCCGAACCACCCAGCTGGCACCACGAGGAGGTTGTTCGGCAAGCCAGCCACCACCATCACATGCTTTAATACGTGACACATACATGGCTCTCTCCTTCGTTTGAGCTAACATCCCTGTTTGTTTGTTTTGAGTTACGATAATAATAAGCACACGGTGGATGTGACAGTCTGCCTGCCGGATCCTCTCTACACATCGATAATACACGTCAGCGAGATGGCAAATCGCAATGGAACTGAGTGGTAGAGAAGATTAATTGAGGCTCAAAGGGTTACTTAAACATACCGTCGGGAACTAGTCCCTATTGGAGTAAGGACATGTGGGATAAGCAGAGGGGGTGGAGAAGAAAATAGGTAGTCGATGACACCGGGTGTAAGATTTGGATACTGAAGCCCGAAAGCAATATGGTACCCCAACTGAGAACAAACTTGTTAAAAGTTGACAATATCAAGCAAAGATAGTACTAATAATTATATACAATCGTCGCACCCTAACTGGCCAAACGTGTTTTCGTTGCCCCAAAAGGACGGGTTATTTCCTTTTGCCAATACTTACCACAGGGCGATTAGGAGGCACACCTGGAAACAAACAGTGATTGTCATCGTCATTTGAACAACCACGGGGACCTACGGAATGAACGATAATAAGAGAGACTTACCGGAAAACTGTAATGCCCTATGCAAACACAGGGTCAAGCGCCTACACCTTCTCAACACTATACCGGCTATTCTGAAAAGATAACGCGGCATCGGCTAGACAGCTTCTTTTCGGCTTTCACTGCCCCGCGTCATACTCAGCCATTATTCTGCGGGTGACTGCACCAAAGACACTTTAAAACAGCAGTTCAACTAGGAGACGGTAGCAAACGCGCCACTGGTGCCGACTGCAAGCCATGCCATGTAAAGTTGTTATAGCGGAGGTAAGAATACTCCGCCACTCCCCGTTGTTTTGTGAGTTTTGCCCCAATCACCCCTATTCACCCCGTCCTCTTTTACGATTCCTCGCATACGTTCACTTTGCTTGCGTGGACACTGAATCCTACGCTTATTAGCTTTTCTCATACTTTGTGTATATTTCGCTCGTTCGTGAGTCAACTTATCGACCCTCCGCTTTTTGAACTGACCAGCTTTGACTGACCGAATGCCAGTCTTTCCGCTTAACATGTGTATATGCGCTGATTTGAAACATTCGATTGCTTCGAATTCACGACGATTGGTGTGCGGCGTGTAACATTGTTTTGTACCCGGATTGCCGTGGGTGTTCTCATTACCATTATTGGGGCTCCGACACAACCAAAGTCTCAAGCTAAGCACAAGGCGGATCACGTGACTCCACTCTGGAAGGTGAAACGGACCGACGGCACCGAGTTTGATCGTTAATGATTTTATTTCTCTCTGCCAAGTTAACTTAAACTCACCTCGGGCTTCGCACCACCCTACATCTAGTAAACAAAACTAGGCCATCCTCAGTAAACGATGCCCGGGCATACGTAGTACAGACCAAGCCAACGCAACTTATTCAGTGCTATCTGTTGTTCTAAGGAATGAGCATGATAACCACTGTCTAGTACTCGCCTACGCACATCGTCGTTGCGGACACACTGATGTCATCCGACACCAGCAGTACTTCGCAGACAACGGAGATCGATGACTTGAAGGCGCCTCAGATCCTCAGACAGAGGGGGGCTAAGTCTCACGTCATAGAGCAGGATGGCCTTTACTGTGGCCTTGTAAAAGCGACCTTTCAGACCGAGGGAAACTCTTTCCTGACGCCACAAATATTGCAGCTTCAAGAAGACATTTCTAGCTTTTGCAATCGTTTCTGATGCAGATGTCAACATATTTGAAATGATCAACTGTCTCGAGTTCCTCACGACCAGGGGTCAAGGACCCATCAAGTAGCTGGTGGTTCTGTAACAACACTGCACTTTGAAGGTACGAAGCGCATGCCATATGACGGGACCAATCTAGAGAGTTTATTCAGGGTTGACTGGGTCGCTCCGACATTGTCCGCATAGTCAAGATAAATCAGCATTTCACCAGGCAGTACCTCAACTCAGGCGTCGTGAGATTCCGCAAATGAACACTCCGTGATGGGGTTCATCATCATCAATACACGTTAGCCGAGGGTGAGGAACATACCTCAGCTAATTTGCCGTATTACAAAAAGTAAGTTCTTACTCAGTGTGGTGTTAAAAGCCATTAAAAGGTAACTTAATGCTACCATCACACTTTGGTGGTTGTTAGAGGGGGGAGCTAAAGCGAAGAGGAGGGCCAAAGAGACTCGCAACACAAACGTCACTGAGGTCGATTCTTCGCCACGTGAGCTACTGCATCCCAACAAACGTCTTCATCATCCTTCGGTTCCCAGCCATGCCGTCGGTGAACACCAACCGACGCCAACTTTAAAGTGAGGGACTTCATTCCTTTTGACCAAGTCGTCTGTTGGCATCCTCTCCCCGTCTTCTACGCAGGCCCTAGTTGCGCAAACAACTTATGACGCATGAGTCAGTGTGTTGAGATGCTCAACACGTGACCCAGCCATCGGAGCATGGTGCGTGATGTAACGGCGCTGAGCGTTTAACTCGCTCTTCCTGCACCAAATACACGACGCCCATCGCTCACGCGGTGCTCCCATCCGACACGCGCTATGCTGGGAAGGCTGCGATGATCGGACGTAATGAGCCTCTTTATGTCTGTCGACTTAATGAGTCAGGTTCTGCAACCGTGCAGGATGGTTTTGCGGACGGTTTCATTGTAAACTGCCCTACAGAGCGCGAGTAATGTCCTCGGAGGAGTTGAACAAAAACGGGGAAATCGGGCAACGCTGACGAACGCCACTTGTTGTCGGAAAGGCATCCAACAAATCATTGTAGACCCTGACTTTGCCTGTCGTGTTCGAGTACAGGGCACGTGAAATGTTCATACATTTTCTGGGAACGCCTTTCCGCACAAGTATTCCGAACCAAATGCATCAATCGATTTAATCGAACCCACTCTTGAAGTCGAGGAACACAGCTATTATCAGCCTGCTGCGAGTGTGGCGCTGCTTTGGCACCTGCCGCATAATGAATGGGTGGTCTATACAGCTATGTCCTGGGCAGAAGCCTGCGTGCTCTCCTCTAATACGGGATTCTCGCTCCGCAATTAGACATCGAACGAGAATTGAGGCCAGTAATTTTGTCACCACCGGCTTTATTCTAGTATCGCTGTGGTTTGCACAGTCGGTGCGACTGCCTTTCTTGTATGTCGTCATTATAATCGATTTTCTCCAGTTAGCTGGGATGTGCTCTGCCTTCCTGATGTGTTCGAACAGGGAGGTCAGTGCTTTGTAGAGGACCTCACCATCATCCTTGAATATTGCAGGTGGGAAGGAATCCGATTAGGGGCTGCGATCGCGTTTCGGACCTCGACTTCCGACTTACCCTCTAAACTAACCGTCCATGGCTCATCCTGCACCACCTGAGTAAGAAGAGTTCCAAAGACGGGGTGACAACTGAACTGCTCTCGAAAGTGCTCTGTCCAAAGAGCCATGCACGCTCCTTATTATGAATCAGGACACCCGCGCTGTCTCTGATTGTCTCAGTGAGGCCTGGTTTTCTGGCACCAGTGGTGGGGATCACTTGGAAGAGCTTGCGATAATTGCCTACTGCTCTTGCTTCCTTCATTACTTGATCGCTGTTAATCCATCAGGCTTCCTTGTTAGCACACAGGCTCCGCTTTAGTTTGTGCCTAATAGTCCGCCTAGTTACATCGTGCTCAGAGCCAGCCGGGAGGTTTCTTCCGGATTACAACAGATTCACCGAGATATCTAGTGACTGATATGGTGACGATTAACAATGCTGCGTGCTGAGGCTCCTGCATGGTGTTTGTCGACCGAGATCCTATTCCATTGGAGCTGAGTGTCATTAAGATAAGCGATTGAAGCTTTTGTACGCAGAGCTTGATTGACCGAGGACTTAGATAACTTCTTTGTTGTCATTCAAGGGAGACGCTTGATACACCTCCCGGTAAAGTTCATGAAAAAAACACATCGTACCGAGACATGATCAAAGTCGTCGCAGGTACTCCAAAACCAGCGACATTCCAGTATGGAATCACACTACCTTTAACACATGGTAATGTTATGTGTTTCTGGTCCATCGCTGGTCAGCTATAGGTGGATGCCACCCGGCGCTACGGTGCCCACTGTGTCTAAAAGCGGTGATACCAAGAAACAGCTGGTGCTCCGCTTACAGCTGTAACGGGCGCTCACCAGTTTCCGCGCGATCGGAGTTAAGTCCATACTTACCACCTAGCTGAGCTTCAGGAAATCTCAGACGACTCACTTGCGCATTCATATCCTCTTCAAGAACTATGATATCTGAACTGGTAACACTGCATAGTAGCGTGTTCAGTTCGTGGTAGAAGGCGCCCTTGGCAGCATCTGAACTTCAGTCGGGGTGCATAAGCGGAAACCACAAACAAACACCGTCTAGTGATATTTCCTGAATCAACCAGACTGCGCACCCACGGTTGTTCACGGGAATCCAGTCAAGCAACGATAACTCGCCCTTGGAGCTGAGAGCAATGCCCACTCCAGCTTGACCGGCACTTGCCACATCAGCGTCTCCGGATGCTTGCAACCTATAGCGAGAAGACAAACCCCGTGAGGGTGTTTGATCCTAGTTTCGGACACACAACACACATCACATACCCAGTGTGTCCAACTTGTGTGCGAGTGCAGCTTGTTCATCTACTTGTATTAGACTGCGAACGTTGAACCGCACCAGTGGAAGGGGTCAGTGTGGCCCTATATGAAAGATGTTGGCGATTGTTGTCCATTGGATGGTGCGGGAAGAACTACACTGATGTTACGGCTGCTGGCAATTAAAAGAAGGTTAGTAATGGAGGTTTGAAGGGAAGTACAGGAAACAGGTTGAAAAGAAAGGAGGGAGGTGTCAGCAGTAGCATGTTATCGTTTATCCGCCCTGCTGTATGCAGCAGATAAGGTGACCCTTGATAATCTGCTCGATGGCCGATGCAAGCTAAAATTTGTGTTTGAGGAAGATGTCTTGGTTGTATGTGAGCTGAGATACTGCCATGGCGCCCATACATAGCTAGGAAGACGATTAGGGTCTCCGTCCAAGGCCTTTGGCTCAAAAGTCTATTCGCAAGACAGCGGGGAGGTGGCAATGATTTAATTTTACAGAAATGGGCTGTATCCCATATCAAACGGCCAACCTGGAGGACCAGAAGAGTGACTTTGTCTGATCTCTAACCATTGACCAACCAGGTAGGAGTGGTTCTCAAGTGGCCATGGGGCACCATCCTCTATAGCTCAATGGGTTAAAGAGGTACGCAAACCGTCGCACCACGTTAATGTCCAGTCATTTTGCGACGGGCAGTGAATGTGGCACCATGGCATGGCCCATTCGCAGCATAATTAGGGGGCTAGCATGGAAGTGAACAGGAAATGCGCTGCCAATTTTTCCTTTTTGCACAGTTTATCCCACAATTGTGCCCTCATGGACGCACACAGTAGCCCTGTTCCTCAGTATTTTTTATCTAACGAGTCCTATGGTGCTGTATTGGTCTTACTTTCAGGTGCATGAGAAAAATCCCCGATACAGGTGTCCTCATTGCGATCATGGATTCAAGCGCCCGGTAAGTACATTGATTCTCCCCTTGCCTTTAGCACTTTTGTGTCCATCGTAGCAAAGTGTGATTACCCGCGCAATTTCTACTCATCGCACTACTTACTCCTTAACTCTGATCCATACACCGGCGTTGTTTGTAGGATCGGAACCTAACCCATATTGGCTCGTCCTTTATTCGTGTTATCAGCACAAGCGATCACGTGCTGTGCACATCCGTTGTGCCTGTGCGTTAGTGTCATGTGCAGCTATCGAAAAGTAAATAAGGTGGATGTATGCACATTGTTTAGAAGTCTCAGCATCTCTTGTGATGGCAGGCCTACGGCATTAAATCCTTGTGACATTTTTCTAGATTGCATGAGGATCTCAGCCAATTCTGTCAAGGATTTGGGGCTCAGGTGCCTAGAGTAATGTCCTCATGTTCCCGGAGGGCAGTTTTAGTTCGCACTTAATATGTCCCACAGAAAATATAAAAAGCAAGAGGTAGAAAACAAGCTCATTTTCAGTGGTTTGTCATCAGGCTATTACAACCACATCTAAGCGGACTGAAATTGACACACATGTTTAAATTTAATGAGTCGCTGAAACGAGATATCTAATCTATAAGGCTACTTGATTTATCTTTCCAATATGAGATTGTGGGTAGTGGCATGATCGCCATTGGTAGTCGTGCAGCCATGTTGCCAAGGTAAACCGAGGGCTTGAACAGACATTTTCAGTGCACACCGAATTGCGATCGCGGCTGTTGTCGACAACAGACCGCATCTGACCGCTTATGTTTGACGTCCGAGTACACAGTGGATGAGCTGAAATTCGTTATTCGAATTGTTTTTGTGGTCAGAGTCCACTAGGTGAGACAACACCACACTTATCACATTCTTTCGCACACTGTTGTGGAGACTAGCTGGGCGATGATCTCGAGCTTTTGCGGGCAGTCATCTGGTCGTGTTCCTGAAATACTTTTTCTCAACGCGAGCAAAAGCAATGGTTCTCACAGGAAATCTACAACCGAGGCATACTGTCCTTGATTTGCTGGCCCGCAGATCCATCGCGAATTTGTACCCTCTGTAGTTACCGAATGACCTCAAGTGGTCAGTTTCGCTATCGTGTCATCCTTAAATGGTAGTGATCGGTTTATTAATCGCTTTTTCGCCGAACAGCATTCACTTTTGGCACTCGCTACTCCAAGTGCTCCTGAATGCACTATTTGGGGTACTTATTTCACTCGAGCACCTTTCGTATAAAAATCAGCTCATTTGAAAGCGTATCTTCCCTGTGCATATTTCCTCGCTCTCCGTTAAACGGCGGATAAGGTTACGTATTTTACTTATTGGAAGAAAACTAGCGAAGTGGATATATGGTCCATTCCAGACTTCCTTTTTGTGCCCCTTGCTCCGCATTACTCCGTCTGATGCCCTATTGATCTGGACGTCTGAAAATGCTAACGAGTTGTTGCGTTTTAGCTCGATAGGGAATGGTATGTTGTGTGCCGAGTTGAAATGGGCCAGTTGGTCATTCGACGGATACCCAATTATCCGCGATATAACATATGTTGTCTGCATATCGACCAAGCTGTTGATTGAATCGTTCAACTGATTGCTCTCCAATTTGCTCTTGAAGGGTTTCACAGTACTGACCCTAACGGCGTAAGTTTCGCCACTCCGTCTGTTTATCGGTATAGCGTTCCGTTATTCTGTGACTGAATTTTTTGCGTGCATCTCAGCACTAATTGTTCTAATCGGTCTTGTGGGATATCCATCTTATGCAGTTGGATGCATTTGCATCGATAATCTGTGGTCTGCTCCAATAGAACATTGATGAAAATATCTTCCACATAGCTAATTCAAGTTGCTTCACAGAGCCGTGAAAAACAAATATATCTACGACACTATATTTGGTTATGGCTTTTCTGACTGGCTGCAGCCGTTTGACAGGCCACTTGGCGGTTTCATGATATGGCGAGCTATAACTATCTAGTATTTTGCCCAAGTGGCAACCCTTGTGCATCTTAGGCAGACCATAAAGTTTTGCAATCACTGCTCCCTTCAATCTGATCTAAGTAACTTGAAAATTCCCATTTACGTCTCTAGAACGAAAGATCATCTGGTGAGCAATTGCTTTCAAGGATTCATCATCAGACCATTACAACCATATAGAGGCTAGAATGAGAAATCGACCCAGTTAGTTTAAAATGACTTGATCACGTGAAGGTCAATGTCAGAGTGGAGAAAACGAATTAGGTCTTAGAGGGCTAGCTGTTTGATACCGCGTCTGACCGAAGGCAGTCGACCTGGGCGTCTTCCATCTTCGCTGGCCAGGGAAGCTGGAGAGCCTGGACCAGCTTCTTCTGTGAGCATAAGGACGGCTGGAACAATTGAATGCATATTGCTTCAGCTGTCGCAAGCGTACGAAGGCGGTAAGCTTTCGTTCGGTGCGGCGGAACCTTGTAAACCATTCGGAAAGCGCGTTTCCAATCCACCTCATGGCCGGTGTCCACAATGTGGACCAGAATGGCGCTACTAATGGTACCGATGCCACCTTGACGCAGCTAACGAGGGCAATGTTCGTTCACGCGTTTGGAGAATTGCCGCACCGTTCGACCAATATAAACGTCGCGCCACAGACGCACACGAATTGAGAAATTACCATTGATGTGATCAGCATCGGCATCTAGTCTTTGTTTTGTGAACGAATGAGTGGTTCCGTTGAGAACACGCACCTCAACGAGGCTGCTGGAAAGGTCGACTTTACTGCGGAAATAAGACTGTGACGCCAAGACTACCGGAGGCGGAACGGAGACCTACATGTGATCAAGTCGTTTTGAACTAACTGGGTCGATTTCTCTTTCTAGCCTCCATATGATTGTAATGGTCTGATGATCAATCTGATCTATTTGAATATCTCAGGGTATAATGTATTTCCCCGTTTAAAGTAACACGGAGGTATCCTTATGGACTTCTGGTTCACCTGTCTTTTCCTTCCCCTTATCCATTCTTCGAACTTTTAACCCGTCAATAAGGATGGCATACATCTTTCTTATGTACTCTGGTCTATCCATCAGAACGATCCCGGTTCCTTTGTGCAAACTAGACAACAGTACCTTATCGTTTCGCTTGAGCCCTTTAATGGCGTCTGGATGTTCCTGCTTCAAAAGATACTTGGCCCATGGTATATGACTTAGGTATTCGTAACATGCATTAACCGGTGTCTGATTGTTCGCTGAGCTCGGCAGGTTGACTGCAAACGTTTCGTCACCACTCGAGGTGACATCGTCAGTGCGCGTGTATTTAGTGGAGTGGCGCGTACGAAGCGTCAGTGAGTGTGAGTGATCGATCTCCTAGCCGCTAGTCTGAGTTTGGATTGTTCGACGGGCACATGACCATAGAAATCGATCTCTGATTCTCACCTCGTAGTGTACGCGCGTGTGACTCTTTGCTTGTCCTCGTTTGATGCAGTAGTCTAGCGCTCTGTTCCGTTAGATTTCTTCTACTAATTCGGAGATCTTTCATCCGTAGTGCTGTATATATAGCATCTATTTCAACGTGTCGGTTTATTGAACTGTCGGTAGAGTACCATGCTTCCAAGAATTCTCTAGCTTGTCTCGAATTTCCACGGGCTGATCTTAACGTTCTCTAGATCGAAGTGGTGGCCTTCATGCATGGAAACTAATGAATGCGGGTCGTGTCTCCGTATGGCCATTCTGTGTTCGTTGATCCGTGTTGATAGTTTCCTTCCAGTTTGCCCGATGTAGTGTTTGTCACACTCTTTGCAGTTAATTTTGTAGATGACATCATTCTGACTGCCTTGTTTAACTTTGTCCTTCGGTCTTGAAAGCAATCTTCGCAAAGTGCCAGTTATTTTGTGGGCTACCAAGATTCTATGTGGTCCTAGCAATCTTGACGTTAGTTCAGATACATTCTTGATGTAAGGAAGCGTTACGTGTGTATCTATGTTTTCTTGTTGTTGTTGCTGCACCCTCTTCTTTAGGCTTCTTCTGATGAAGTTTCTCGGATACCCGTTGTTTTGCAATACTTGGTATAGGTGGCTCTCTTCCTTCTTCCTCAATTCTGTCGTGCTGCAGTGTCTTTTGGCCCTATTGAAAAGACTTTGAATGCAGTTTTTCTTGTAGTTCGGTGAATGGTTGCTGTGGTAGTTTAATATTTGGTCTGTGTGAGTCTTCTTTCGATATACACATGTCTGAAGTGTTCCGTCAGTGTTTCTTTGGACCAGTACATCTAAGAATGGTAACTGGTTGTCTTTTTCGAGTTCAATTGTAAACTTGATATCTTGGAACGTGTTGTTGATTAACTCATGGGTATTCTGCATGGAATCGCGTTTGATGACGACAAACGTGTCGTCCACGTACCGGATCCATAATTTTGGTTTGAGCAACGGTATTGTGATGCTCTCCAGTCTTTGCATCACAGCTTCTGCAATAAGTCCTGAGATGGGCGATCCCATGGGTGTTCCTTTCAGTTGTTGGTATACTTGCCCATCAAAGTACTTTGCGAAGATTACTTTCAAGACCGAAGGACAAAGTTAAACAAGGCAGTTAGAAACAGGTACTTTGCGAAGATTGCTTTCAAGACCCAGGGACAAAGTTAAACAAGGCAGTCGAAATGATGTCATCTACAAAATTAACTGCAAAGTGTGTGACAAACACTACATCGGGCAAACTGGAAGGAAACTATCAACACGGATCAACGAACACAGAATGGCCATACGGAGACACGACCCGCATTCATTAGTTTCCATGCATGAAGACCAAGAAGGCCACCACTTCGATCTAGAGAACGTTAAGATCTTAGCCCGTGGAAATTCGAGGCAAGCTAGAGAATTCTTGGAAGCATGGTACTCTACCGACAGTTCAATAAACCGACACGTTGAAATAGATGCTATATATACAGCACTACGGATGAAAGATCCCCGAATTAGTAGAAGAAATCTAACGGAACAGAGCGCTAGACTACTGCATCAAACGACGACAAGCGAAGAGTCACACGCGCGTAC